GGATAAAATACTGATTGCATAAAAAGCAAAGTTTGAAAACAGTTTATGGAATTTCTTGAATGTTTAAGATACTTTATTGGTACATTTTAAGCAGAACAAAGGTACATAACATTTTGAGTCAAGGAGGGACATGGTCAGGGCTGTGCTTGAGAACTGTAATGTTCAGTGCAGATGCCACCAGCACAGGTAGTTGCCTACGTTTAAATTTAAATTAATCAATATTAAATAAAATGAAAAAGTCAGCTCCTCACTTGCATTTGCCATATTTCAAATTCTCAGTAATGCCCAAAAGCTAGCAGCTTCTGTATACAGGACAGGAGAGATATAGAACATTTCTATCATCACAGAATGTTCTATTGGACAGAGTTGCTTTAAAAGATTAATCCAGCAGTGCACTATTAGTGGATTGGACGGGAGAGGAAACCATAAACGGGAAGCTGATTTGAACAATCAAGGTTAGAAGTTCTGAGTAGCTGTCGTAGGGAATAGAATTTCACTTCTAAAACGCAGAATATTACCTTGTACTCTTCTGAGTTTTCTACAGATACTCATGATAAGAACCATTTATGCATACTCCAGGGACACCAGTCAGAACTTAGATTTCTTATATTCCTCTGGAGAAATTTTCTTTGGCACGCACGAGAAAAGAGAGAAGATGAAATGACTCACTGGATTATGAATATCTAGAGATCCTCACTTCCATGTGGAAGTGGGGGGAATTCAAGCAGATGGGCTTCCTGAGATTCATCTCATGTGGGGTTTGTGGGTAACAACCATCTGGCTCCCAACTTGGCTTGAATTTCAAGGGAAGTCCAAAATCATCCAGTTTCTCTCTAAAGTTTGTTTATACACGGAGAAATTCCGTTACGAATTTACACTTTTCTTTTTTTTTTCTATTTTTAGTCTTATCTTTGAGTTTTTCTGTAATCATTACTGTCTGGAATGGGAGACTTTCTCATTTTACGTATAAGGAAACTGAGGTCAAATTAAGTGATTTGGCCAAGATCACACAGCTAGTTGTTTGCAAAGTCAAGCAATAACAGGTGTTCCGGGTTCTTTCACCTGTACTATGGCATTTTCAGAGTAACTTAGAACAATATGCTTTAATTTCCTTTTCATATCCTTAGGAACTAGGGCAGTAGCTATGGTTCTGTAATTTAACTTATGATCCCAACACGGTCACATTTAATTATATGTTTAATAAATATTTTGTTGAGCATTTACTTGAAACTGGAACATCAACACCTAAATCTTGTCAACTGCCAAATGGATCCAGAGGAAAAAACAGTTTAAAGACCCGTGTTCTAGGTAAACAGGACTACTCTTCCTCTGGCGCTGATTCTCTCAGAGTCCCTACAACATGTTAATGGCCCTTATTTGTTTTCCTGCCTGTCCTTCTCTACTAGATGATGCTCTTTCAGAATAGGGTCCACGTCATACTTGTCTTTGTTCACCAGTGCTTATCCCAGCTCTCAGCACACAGTAGAAGAGCTGATGAATAATGCATGAACGATATATGGGTAAAGAGGTAATTTGGAAACTCTGCTTGCGTGTACCCTTATTAATCTCGTTTCTGACCTTTAGAACTACACAGGCTTGCCAGGGGCACAGAGGAAAATCAGGCTTGTCTTTCTCAGCAGGCAATTCAAAACCACACAGTGCAGCAGGAGATCTACAGAACAACACTCTTTCACCCACCGAAGCAGTTTACCAAAGCTGTATTCCGGCATTCCTAGGTCCCTTTAATACAGGACTCAGTTTTTTGGAAGTCCATTTAATTGACTCTCTTTTTCTTGGGAATAAAAGCCAGCCTGCCAACGGCTGGCAAAGGTGAGTCTGAAGGCCTCTGTGGGATCCTCGGGGGGCCTGGAATCTGCCTCCCTGCAGGGGAGGGAGGCTGGCTGTACTCTCCACAGCTGTATGGCTCCGTTCCTCTTGTATTGGCCAGGATTGAAAGAGATGAGTCAGAAAGCACCCCTTAATCCTACCATTCCTATCTGTGCCCTAAAAGAGCAGGTAGAGACTTCAAGTTGAATCAAATGGTTTGAAATTTAAAATACTCTCTGTGAACACTAAAATCTGAAACAAACCAAACAAGATAAGTATCATTGCCGTATTCATACCAAAGCATCAAGTGACAGTGCCCAAGCTAGCAGCAACACTTCGTTTCTTGCACCAACAGGGCAAAGAGTTCATTCACACTGCAGATTCCCTTATGATCCAAAGAACAGCGATCCAGATACAAAGAGACAATGTTATCCTTTGTTTTAGGCACTGCCATCTCATCACCTCCCACCCCCTCCTTCCCTCCCTCCAACATAATCAGACTTCTGGTGACATATCGTAATTAGATGCATAAGCTGTCAGATACTAGAACTCCCCAAGCTCCTTTTGAACTTTGTGTCTAGTTATTATTGTTTTTCATGTTACAATAAGGAATCTGGGGTGCGGTCTTTATGTTTTTTTTTACAAGACAGTCCTTTTGTGGCAATCAATGTTACATAAAGCTTGTCCTAAAAATGTTCTTCCTCATCATATTCCCATCAGATGACATTAAACAGCTCGTATCACAGACAGCTTATTCTTTATGAATATTTTCCAAATACCTCATTAAAAACATACCTACCCATCCCAAAGCTATCAAATTTTGCACCACTGCCTTAAAACTACCATTTTGTTCCTGTGAGAGTATATTCTTTATTTGTATTACCGCATTCTAGGCAGCTCTAAATCCCACATGACTAACATCCACGTTAACCCACTTCATTGCAACCTGCGACACGTGCCGTCACCAAAGGGGCTGAGGACCTCTTGTTAGAAGTGGCGTGAACTGACTAGTTTAGGCTCGATGCCTTTAACACAATTTGGTCTATTGGATAAATATGTAGAAAGTCAATTTTTTTAATCTTTATAATATGTTTTCTGCAGAGAGCAGTGTTACACAATAGCAAAAGTGTTATTCTGAGAGGAAAAGAATTCCTGAACACATGTGAACATGGGCACAGAGTCAAATACCTAATAGCTTCTTATTTATTTTGAAAATGAGTCCAAAGTCACACTTTGTTTCAATTACCTTGAGATAAATTTTACACATAAAAACACTGATTGACTTTCAGTGAATTTCATGGGCAGTTTTGCCATTACATATAGATATATAGGTCCCTGAAAATCACTATGCTATGCAAAAATCTCACAACAAAAACCACAGGGCCTATGGGGAAAACGGGTTAGGGGCATAAGGCTCACAAACGTCACCAGTGACACATACATAAAAAAATAGGAGTCTGATAAAAGTGGTAACAGTTTTATGTATGGTCCAGAAATTCATAAGTAGCATAATAACTACTATGACACTTCACTTTGAAAGTGATTTAAGGTTGCTTGTGAGCATCGGAGGGGTCCCAGCTTGCAAGTTTTGTGAAGTGGTAAAAGTGTTTCCTGAAATTGGAAAGTTGCAGCATCAGATGTGGACGGGCATGTCTCAAAGCACAAAGAGAACCGAGGAAACTGCTAGATATTTGATGTGTGTGTCTGAGTGAGTTTTCTTTTTCTTATCTTAATGCATTGAATAAAACACCCAGTACAATACTAAATAAAAATAGTGAGAATAGGCATACCTTTTTTCCCCTGATCTTAAGGGGAACATTTTTAGTATTTTACCATTGAATATAATGTTTGCTGTCGGTGTTTTGTAAACATTCGTTATCAGATTAAGGAAATTCCCTTCTATAAATCGTTTGCTAAGAGTTTTATTTTATCAAGAAGGGATATTGACTCAAAAGCTAACGATGCATCTATTGAGAAAATCATATATTTTTCTCCTTTTCTCTGTTAATACTGTGAATTATGTTCATTTTGAAATGTGAAATTAGCCTTTCATAGGTGGGGTAAACTCCACTTTGTTGTACTGTATTTTCCTTTTTGAATACCACTAGATTTAATTTAAATGTTTTGTTAATAATTTTTACATCTGTATGGGAGATTGTTCTCTAATTTTCCTTTTCCATAATGTCTTTGTCAGGTTTTGGATTATGCTGACATCACTTAAAAAAACTCTTTCCCCTGTTTTTATTATCTGGGAGAGGCTGCATAAACTGGGTGACTGGGTGTTAATTTCTTCTTTAAATATTTGCAGCTATTCAAGCACTTTCTTTGTGGGAAGATTTTTATTTAAGGAAAACCCTGAACGAACTTTTTGGCCAACCCAGTAGTAATGGATTTCAAATTTCTGGTAATGATAATTTGATTTCCTTTATTTTTGTTAAACATTCTGCTAGAGCTTTATTAATTTTATTAAAAGTTTTTTAAAAGCTTTTAGCTTAGTTGATTTTATCCTTCTATTCCATTTGTTTCTGATCTTATCTTTATTTTCTTCTCTTTTCCACAGGATTGATATGTTGTTTTTCTAGCTCCTTGAGATGGAATTTTAAATTATTAAATTTTAACCTTTTTTCTAATATATATGTTTACAAGCATACATCTCCCTGTAACCATTGATTTCACTATGCTTTAATTGCAACCCTCAAGTTTAAATATGTTGTAACTTCATTACGATTTAGTTCAAACTAATTCTCATTTGATTTCTTAATTATTCATATATGAGATGTTTTCTTTAATTTCCAGACAGTGGGGCTTTTCTTGTTATCTTTTTATTGACTTCTAAGTTAATTGTATTGTGATCAGAGAATATACTTTAAGCTATTCAAATCTTTTGAAATTTCTGGCAATTCTTTATGGCCCATCAGATGGTTGACTTGGTAAATATTTCATGTGAATTTAAATTCTGTCTTTGATGATTGCAAATGTTTGTGGTTCCTCAAGATTCCAATTTGCAGCTCCAGATCCACACAATAGCAAAAGGCCTTCCTACTTCTCTCTCCCCAGCAGAGGCGCTGCACAGGAGCCAACCCTGACCCTCAGTTCACACAAGAACTGGCAATTCCTCCGCAAGAAAAAAATATCTGGTGATGCAAAGATCATTTGTATACAGTTTCCCTCTATTTTTTTTTTTAAAGATAAAACACAAGTCAAATTTATTATTAGATTTGTCCACAGTCAGCAATGGTGGTCTTCTTGCTGGTCTTGCCATTCCTGGACCCAAAGCGCTCCATGGCTTCAGCAATATTCATGCCCTCTTTCACCTTGCCAAAGACCACAGGCTTGCCATCCAACCACTCAGTCTTGGCAGTGCAGATGAAAAACTGGGAACCGTTTGTGTTGGGGTCAGCATTTACCATGGAAAAGATGCCAGGACCCGTACGCTTCAGGAGGAAATTCTCATCATCAAATTTCTCCTCATAGATGGACTTGCCACCAGTGCCATTATGGCGTGTGAAGTCACCACCCTGGCACATAAATCCTGGAATTATTCTGTGAAAGCAGGAACCTTTATAACCAAAGCCTTTCTCCCCAGTGCTCAGAGCACAAAAGTTTTCTGCTGTCTTTGGAACTTTGTCTGCAAACAGCTCCAGTCTGTTAATATAACTTTATGGATTGGATGAGCAGTCACTTCGTGGTTTCCAGGTCCCTTACCTCAAAGGAGACGTGGCCCAAGTGCTCGCCATCGACGGCGATGTCAAAGAACACGGTAGGATTGACCATGGTCGGGCAGCACAGGAGGTTCTGGGGTGGTGGCGTCTGCCTCCCTCTCTATAATTTTATTCCACCTAGTCCTTGTTGATTCCGTAGATTTCTGAAACCTTTTAACACTACAATTTTGCAACTTATCCACCTTCACATTGCTACAGTAGGAGTATTGGCTTACTGTAACCTACTACGTCCTACTTAGAACATAAAATCAGGACTCCAAATATTTATTTAAAAAAGTAAAGTTTTTTTTTTAAAGAATCAATCCAAGAAATTTTTGCAACAAAGAATAGAGCTTCTGGAGCTTTAATTTAATTTGACAAACATTTATCGATTATCTGCTGGTCACAAACACCATATCACGTGCTGTGGAATTAATAATGAGTTAGACAATCCTGGTACCAGATGAACTTACAGTTTACAGAGAAGTCAAATATGGAAACAGATAAACTGCAATGCAATGTAGCACGTTATAATAGGGAGAAAAACTATCTCCTGGAACTCAGAGGAAGAAAAGATTGCTTGCCCACAGGATTCAGGAAAGAGTTCACAAATAAATAAAGTTACACTTGATCCTGAAGCCTGAGCAGAATTTGTCAGGCATAAAAGGAGGAATGATATTCTAGGCAAAGCGACAGCATTTGCAGCCACTTAGTCTCATGAAATGATATGGAATATTTGATACGGAATATTTATTGAAGGATGAGACATAAATGTTCCCGAATAGAGTCACATGAGTGGGTCTATGGAATTGAGATGCATGTGTGAAAATAAGGTCATAGAGGTCATTTCAGGCCACACGAGGAGGGGCATTGAATGCCTAGCCAGAGGCTTTAGTATTTTTTCCTGAAAGCCATCTGGATTTAATAGAAATGTGCAAGTCATGGGAAATAAATAATTAGATAAGTTGTTTAAGAGATAGAGTTCTGACAGCAGTGAAGAGAGCAGAATCAAAAGGAGAAGAAGGAATGTTTGCAGAGAACTCAATAAGAAATTTTTCTAGAATGTTATTTATAGATTAATTATGAATATACTAAACAATGAAAATAACTGATAAAGTCACCCTCTAAAATTTATTAATAGAGACTACAATTGGCCAAAACACGAAGCTTACCTCACTCTCTTTATATTAATGTGTGATTTGAGGCCACTGAGTGAATAGGTTCCCCCTCCAAAGGGAGTTGTTTGTTTTTGCAGTGTGACTCTGATTTTCTTGGAGGTTCTGAGAGAAATCTGAAAAGCATCCTTTTAACCTCTGTTTTGTGTGCCATGTTTCTTAGTATCATTTTACCTTAATTAGCCAAACTACTTTCTTTCACTTAACCTTTAGGTATATAGATATATAAATTAAGAGAGAGAGAGAGAGACAGAGTGAGAGAGAGAGAGAGCAAGAGTGAGAGAGAAGGAGAGAGAGAGAGAGGGTGAGAGAGATGGAGGAGGAAACAAATGAGAGGGCCATGATGTAATACAAGAAAGCCTAATTTCTGGTAACTAGCTCTGTCACTTATCCTGTCCTTTCATCTTGTGCATTAGAAATATCTTGCCAGCAAGAAGACCTAAATAGACATTTCTCCAATGAAGACATACAGATGGCCAACAGGCACATAAAAAGATGCTCAACATCGCTAATTATTGGAGAAATGCAAATCAAAACTGCAATGAGGTATCACCTCACACTGTTCAGAAAGGCCATCATCAAAAATTCTACAAATAATAAATGCTGGAGAGGGTGCCGAAAAAAGGGAACCCTCTTACACTGTTGGTAGGAATGTAGATAGTTGCAGCCACTATGGAGAACAGTATGGAGGGTCCTTAAAAAACTAACAATAGAGTTACCATGTGACCCAGCAATCCCACTCCTGGGCATATACCCAGAAAAAACTACAGTTCGAAAAGATACATGCACCCCAATGTTCATAGCAGCACTGTTTACAGTATCCAAGACATGGAAACAACCCAAATGCCCATGAATAGATAATTGGTTTAAGATGTGGTGTGTGTGTGTGTGTGTATATATATATATATATATATATACACACAATGGAATATTACTCAGCCATAAAAAAGAATGAAATATTGCCACTTGCAGCAACACAGATGGCCCTAGAGAATATTATACTAAGTGAAGTAAGTCAGACAAAGACAAATATTATATATCACTTATATGTGGAATCTAAAAAATAATACAAATGAACCTATAAACAAAATAGAAACAGACTCACAGACACAGAAATCAACTTTATGGTTACCAAAGGGAAAAGGGAAGGGGGAGAGATAAATTAGGACTATGGTATTAACAGATACAAACTACTATACATAAAATAGATAAGCAAAAAGGATTTACTATATAACACAGGGAACAATAATCAATATCTTATAATAACCTATAATGGAAAATAATCTAATAGATATGTGTATATATATCTGAATCACTTTGCTATATACCTGAAACTGACACAATATTATACATCAACTATACTTCAATTAAAAAAAAAAATCTTGCCAGCACATTCCTATATACTAATGATGAAAAATCTGAAATGGAAATCAAGAAAACACTCCCATTTACCATTGCAACAAAAAGAATAAAATATCTAGGAATAAACCTACCTAAGAAGACAAAAGACCTGTATGCAGAAAATTATAAGACACTGATGAAAGAAATTAAAGATGATACAAATAGATGGAGAGATATACCATGTTCTTGGATTGGAAGAATCAACATTGTGAAAATGACTCTACTACCCAAAGCAATCTATAGATTCAATGCAATCCCTATCAAACTACCACTGGCATTTTTCACAGAACTAGAACAAAAAATTTCACAATTTGTATGGAAACACAAAAGACCCCGAATAGCCAAAGCAATCTTGAGAACGAAAAAAGGAGCTGGAGGAATCAGGCTCCCTGACTTCAGACTATACTACAAAGCTACAGTAATCAAGACAGTACGGTACTGGCACAAAAACAGAAAGATAGATCAAAGGAACAGGATAGAAAGCCCAGAGATAAACCCATGCACATATGGTCACCTTATCTTTGATAAAGGTGGCAGGAATGTACAGTGGAGAAAGGACAGCCTCTCCAATAAGTGGTGCTGGGAAAACTGGACAGATACATGTAAAAGTATGAGATTAGATCACTCCCTAACACCATACACAAAAATAAGCTCAAAATGGATTAAAGACCTAAATGTAAGGCCAGAAACTATCAAACTCTTAGAGGAAAACATAGGCAGAACACTCTATGACATAAATCACAGCAAGATCCTTTCTGACCCACCTCCTAGAGTAATGGAAATAAAAACAAACAAATGGGACCTAATGAAACTTCAAAGCTTTTGCACAGCAAAGGAAACCATAAACAAGACCAAAAGCTGAGGACCAAACACCAAAATGTTTTCTAATTTTGATAGATTGAACGCTTCTTGTATGATTTCAATCCTCTCATAGACAGAAGGAATCTTATGCTGACTTTGTGTACATTTATACTCAGCAGGTATTGAATGTTACAACATTCAATAAATAGCATTAATATTTCACTTCTTCTAATCTCTGAATCAAACTCATATAAACACATGTCATTTCTTTTGTACTTGAGTCCTGAGGTGATTTTTATCACGAAAAGTGCAATTTTGAAAATCTAATAAACTGTCATCTGTCTGAAGGGCAGCATTTTGCTGACACAGGTAGTATCTGGAATTGTGTTACCAGGTTGCGAAGGCTATATGACAGCAACCACTTGCCAATACAATAAAAACATTTCTAAGTTCTTCTTTACAAAAGCTTAAGTATTTGTTTGTTTTATGACCCCTCATTTCAGAATGAACCATATTCTCCTGGCCTATCTTGAGGTAGGTTTGGCTATATATTTTAAGACAATTTCTAATTACTGTTCTCTTCTCAGACAGAAACATATGTAACCTATAAATTAAATTTTTAAATGTTCCCAAGACTTCCAGTTTATTGGGATCATCTTGTTTGCAATATTTAAGAAAAATGGACTCAAATCCTGACCACATATATGGTGGAGAACCTGCAGTATACACAATATATCCAAGGAGTCATAATTATCTATATTATTAGTTATCAATTCTCGGTTTCTATATGTAACCTACGTGCAACAAGCTTTTCTGAGATTCTGGGACACTGTAGAGGTTTATATTCCAAAAACATTATAGCAGGTAATTTTTTATTGAGGTATAATAGGCATATAATGTTATATTAGTTTCAGGTGTACAACGTAATGATTTGATATCCATATATATATTACAAGATGACCTCCACAATAAGTCTAGTTAACATCCATCGCCATACAGTTACAAATTTTTTTCTTGTGATGAACTTTTATGATCTACTCTCTTAGCAACTTTCAAATACGCAATAAATATTTGAATATTAACTATAGTCACTAAGCTGCTTATTACATACCGATGACAATTTATTTTACAGCTTAAAGTTTGTACTTTTTGACCCCTTCATCCATTTCACCCACTCTCATTCCCCATCTCGGGCCACCACCAATCTGTCCTTTGTACCTATGAGCTTGTTTTTTTTTTTAACTCCACATATAAATGAACCAATAATTCCACTAAATGCAAGTGCACAAATAATTATACATGTAAGCAAATAATTTTACATTGAATTCTAGATGGTACTTATCATAAAATTATTGAACACTCTGGTCCCTGAATTTTCACTGATAATCTTTCTTATTAGAACCATAATGTTGGGCCTACCTTCTCTATTTCTTTTGACCTCCTTTTCTTTTTTGCTCACTAATTCTCCAAATACACATTTATATCTCATAGAGGGGAGTTTAATTATCTTTTTATCTCACTTCTTTCCAAAATTGGCTGAGATCTGAGAGTTAATTCTGTAAGTAAAATAGTAGGTCAATTTCAAAGATAACCCCCAATGAC